AAGTTAGAGCAATTTGAAATAAATAATGACAGCGTACGCAGCGGACTCTAGATGTTACATGAAAATTAATAAGAAATTATGATTTCCCGCGTCAAAAAAATCCCGGGTACCGAATTTCGTGCAAATAATATTTTTTGCAAGAGTTATTTTCAAAAAGCGAACAAAAAAATTCAATTTCAACACCCCGTCACCACAAAAATTGTCTCAGGAATACGTCACTCGAATATTTTAACGTGCTTATGTTACACCCTGTATATCAATACATGTATCGCTATCACAAACTTCACTTTCAAAAAATATATCACATGTTTCGCTATCACAGTAGCTTTTTCGTAGTGTATAACTACAAAAAAGATACTGTTGATAGCGAAACATGTGATATATTTTTTGAAAATAAAGTTAGTGAAGTTGGTGAGACTATTTTAAACTATCATTATTAATCAATTACGTGGATACTACTACCGAACTTGGACCGTATAGTATTTTCCATTCGATGTGCTACGAAAAATATCAATAGATAGTTTAACTGATATTGTATATCTACCAATAAAATCTATAATTGAGAACCATCTATAAACTAGTGTATCAAAATATAAATTAAATAAAAGATATCTTACAAATGGTCGAGTTTTGTTGAGTATTTCTGGGTCTCTAAAAACTTTAGGACCTTGCTCTTCTGCAGTTCTTGTTATTAAACTTGCTTCTGAACCCAGTTGAGTAATAAAGGCATCCCTTTCCTTATCTACTGAATCTCTGAAATATGAATGGTCTTCACTAATAGTGAATTCTTCTAAATGTATTTTCCTTGCGATGTATAGTAAATTTTCCTTATCTTCTTTATGAGAAATACTTTCGTCGGACATATTGCAGAAAGTTTATATATGCTTAAAGTTCGTTTAAAAATATCAAGGTGTCAAATCTGTCAAATTCAATGTGACAATTAACAAATATTGCCTTGATGACCAATACCGCCGATAATTTTGAATTATAAAAATTATCTAGAGAGGCGGGACATAAAGTTTTTACACACGGTGGTCGGCACCGGTCTTTGTTCATAAACGCAGTCGGCTGACATCCTAGGATAAAAACCATGCATATTTATATCATTCAAAATGTGTGTTGAATTCACTTATATTATGTGGTGTACAGGTCATAACGGATAGTAGAATGGATATACCTACACTAAGTAAAAGGATATCCTCAAAAGATATATAACATCGCAGCCCAATATTATAGTCTGTCCAGAAATGAGAGAAAACTACAGCAGTATATATATTCATTCAATATACTCCACGAAACAATACACACTCCTAGAAACAATAAACTTAGAGAAACACCAACACAAAGAATAGGTAATAATATAACACAAGTACAGGCAAATTTAATGAGACGTCCGGGTGAAAGGGAAGCACAAATACCTGCCAAAACCCTAAATAATGAAGCATCAACAAATTCACTAAGGCGATCTAACCGTTTAAAATAACAAACAAGAAGATAAAACGTTCAGTTTGAGTATGGGCATGAAGATGATAGCACAGTCTGTTATCGAAAGCGCTCGCATATAATAATTAGAAGTTATTAAAGCTTCAAATCCTTTTTGTGAACAAGTATTAATATTAAAATATATTTGAAGCTTAATTGGTCAAACCACCAACACTGACATAAAAACTTGGCAAGTTGACTTGGGTGTCACACCAATAGGTGGTTCCACTTATGTCTCGCTTGCGTTAACGCATTTATTTCTATTATGTACTTTTCTTAGTTTTTACATTTTGACCCACCAGTTAAAAGGGGAAGGGAGCCAGGCTTCAACCTGAACAAACTCAAGATGGACAACATTTTGACCCATTCAGTCGAGAAATCAGAGTTTTTGATGGTGCAGAAGCTCATGAAAACCCATTAGTCAGGAAAGCTATGGATTATACTGTAGACGACCCCTCCCGATATAGAAGGCCCCGACACTCTTTCGAATGAGGCCCCTATGTCATCCGTTAAAAGATGAACAATTTCTTCATCCAACCCACCCCAGCCAGGTAGAGGTACACCGTGAAGGGCGGTACTGATGTCTAAGGACATTCATGCCGCCATACCATCAACACTCACCATCAGTTATGACCCGTTTGTCCATCTGGCAAACATCAGTTCAAAGGGTAATGGAGCCAGGCTTCAACCTGTCTGAAATCAAGACGACGTGCAGGTTCAGGTTACATTTTGTCTTCAATCGAGGACCGCATGCCCGGTACTGACGATGCCCAACATGCTGAAACAGCTGTATACAGGTCAGACCACTCAGCACTTCGGTGGCCGTTAACCAGGTTAACCCCCTACGAACGATAACCTTCAGAAGTCGAAACTTGTGCGAGCAATGGACTAGCAGGGTCTTACGGTAAGACGTGCGATATACAGAGCATTTCTTTAATGTCCCCCCTTTTTATTTTTTGTACGGGTCAAGTCAAAAAATTGAAATTCGGGATGATGAAATTATTGCATGAATATTTTATTTTGAAGTGAAATTGACAAATGAAACTTTCAAGGTGGCGACTGGGCGCCTTCTGGGAAAAAAAATTAAATGGAAAGGGGGTATTGTGACACATCATTTTGAAGCTCCTGACGAATACTTCACAAGCTTAGAATATGAAGTCAATATATACCCCCAGTCTGACGTCTGATATAGATATCTTTAACGCAATATTAGA